TGATGCTAACCATGTTTGGTTTCGCTTCTGTGTATCTGCTTATATTTTCAGACATACTCCCCCCTTGGCAGTCTCCCTGCTTCCTCAAAGCCTCAAAGGTTTGGCTCAAGTCACACTTCATTCCTGAAACTAAGCAAGCTGCTAAAGCCCTTTAATAGCTCTCTTGAAGATGCATTTAGTTGCTTCATAATTCATCTCCTTGCTGTTGAATGTTTTGTGTGTGTTGATTTTTCATATCTGATGGAATTTCTGTAATAATCCTATTTCCCAATGAGCCAGATGCAATGCTGACAGTTTATATGGATTGACAACACACAGAAAGAACTTAGTACCCCCAAAAGAAGCTCTGTAGAAGTCCATATTTTACAAACTTGGTTAACTGTGTGTGGATTATTAGAGAAAGTATTCTAATCTTAACATTGGATCAAATAATTCCTCCTCAGATGTGAAGCCAGGAAGTTTCAATGAATTTAAATGCTAGCCTAAGTCCAAGTATAATTTCAAAAGTAAATGTTGCCCCCCAAATTGGTCTTGCAAAATAAAAAAGAAAGTTGTTTTGTAAGCTGTGCACACTTCTTTCGGTACAGATCATCAAGAATTGATGGCATTGTCTCCTAAAAGACTAAGCAATTCCTTCTCTTGCTGCTTTATTTTTTTTAGTTTGTCTCCTAAAATGTCACTGCTATGGATCCATTATTTATTCTTAAGCTTGATTGTTACAGGGGAAAGCTTAAGTCACCTCTGAATTTAGTGATCCTGCCTCAGTGGGAATCTCTGCAGATTTCTCACTGAGATCGAATCATTTTGGGTTTGTTTTTTGTTTTTTGTTTTTTTTTTCGGTTAGTAGTTATTCATAAAGGAATTACTACATAGATTGATTTATAGTAAATTTGCTTACAGTAAAGAGACTGGATATTGTGTATATTATTCCTTGGGCTGGGAAAGAATCTTAGACTTTACTTCAGAACCCTGACCTTTAGGCTGACAAGAGAGGATCAGCTAGCTTAAGCAATTCTCTCAAGGCCAAGAGTCCCAGCATATACATATGTTTAATACTCCACTTCCCAAATCCTGCAAAATCTATCCTCATTCCTTTTGCTGTTAAAAATTCTTCCACCCCTTGATCAGCTAATGATTGAAGCATTCTTGAACTAATTACAGTCTATTTCTGCTTTGCTTTTCTTCAGCATGCTTGTATATTATGTCACATGTGCACGTTCTCTTTAACCTGTTCTCTAGTTGCATGTTTGTGTTTTTAACATTTTGGCATTTCTACCAAGATGCCCAAGTATGCTGGTACATGTACATTAATACATGTGAATAATAAATACATTAATGAAATCCTAGGCAAGTGTGCCACATAACTTAAATGTGAGGCACAGGTCTGTTTTTACAAAGTACTTCGACTTATTTTAATCCTCAAGTGGTATTTAGCCTCATTTTGCACTTTGAGGAAATAGACTCAAAGATGTTAAAGTGGCAGGCCTAGAACTTGAATCCAGGTCTTCTGATGACAAATTCGTGTTTATTTTACTACCACAATGCTTTTTTAAGCAAGCCTACTTTTTGCAGTTGGGAGGTTCTTAGGGGATAAGTCTTGGGCTCAAGTGAACACCACCTGTAATGTCTACCTAATGCCACCAGGGTGTCCCATGGTACTGTCTTTGATCCATGTGCTTACCCTGGGACTTGGGGGATATTCCTGATCATGAGCTCATCTAGTCAGTGGCAGTGGCCATGGCCCAGAGCCTGGCAGCAAGAAAGTAAGATGCTTAGCTCCCTGGCTTAGCTCCCCCAGTGTGCAGTGCACAGCGCACAGCCAGCTCTATCAGAGAAGCCGTTGCCTTCTTTTGACCCCTACTTTTCAGGCTGGCCCCATAAAAGGACAACAGGTCACACACACAGTGGCCAGGGCCTGGCTGGCTAGCCCCACAAGAGCATAGGAAAGAACCTATGGATGTGTAAATGTCTACAAATATCTGCATTTGTTTTGATAGCTGAGTATATACTTAAATTTATATTAGTAAAACAGGTTCACAAGTTACTACTCTAGGTAGATGAATTTTGAAAGCCAATGTGTGGTGACTCCAATTTGCAGTAGAAATGTTTGCATTTACATTCAGCCTGAGTATACAGCCTCTTAGGTATTAGTTTTTATATTTAGCAACCCTAGATGGAACAGTGTCAAAGCTATCATTTATATAAGAACCAATAAGGCAGATGGCCCCTTTAAAAATTTCCTTCCTTCCCAGTGTTCCTTAAACATTTTGTACGAATGTCTATAACTGGTTTATAATTTCTTTACAAGTCTTGTTTTCTTCACTTGAGGAGATTCTTTGAAGTATTTCCAGGGGCTAGTGCAGCTCCTGGCATTTAATAGGTGTTCAATATTTTTTTGTTTACTAAAATAGTAGTGCTTCCATAATAGTTCTGAGACAATGCTATACATGAGCCATTTTTCTAAGGAGAGAGTCTATGTTAGACACTTCTTTTGTATTCAAGCTGATTAAAATTAACTGTGAACTGGTAAGTTGGTCTTTGGAATATCCTTGCTGGCCTTTCAAAATCTTCACTACAACTTTCTAGGTTGGAATTCTCAGCATGGCCTGAATTGGGGGCTATATCTGAACTGTTTCTCTTTAGTTGTCATCTATATGCTATGTCTAGGACTGGGTGTTTACCAAGGCTCTTCAAGTCACTGGGAGGGACTCCTAAGTTAAGAGTGAACTACTGACTTGGGATATGGAATTTGTGGTGCTCCTTCCCTTTCTCCTGTCTTCTCAGGTGAGTTTTCATCTCAAAACTCCTAAACCATAGTGTTGATATCGCTGTGGAACAAAAACAAACCTACTCTGTAATAGTCAAGTTTACCTGAATTTTCTCAGTTCTTCTCTGGTGAGAGGTCTAATCACAGATTGTTGTACCAACTTGGACCCTTTCATGTGCTTAAGTAATCAGAATAACTGCCTCAGCTAAATGTGTATAGAACATATATGGGGCTTCCTCAGGCTTCAGCATATTTCCCTAGATGTGCTACAGAAGAGACCATGGACAAATTAGCAGTAAAAGTTACCAGTTGTGATGCAAGCAACCTTAGGGAGAAGAGTCTCCCTAAGAAGTATCAAGGGTTTTGTGGGGTTTTTTTGTCCCATATCATATAACTATTAAGAAATGAGTCTGAAAATAACTCTTTCAGATGTGAGGAATAAGTATTCCTTTGCCACTTACAAGTACAAACTACTAAAAGGCAGAAATAGCGTGTTATGCTCTATTCCAACCCCCACAGTGTCTGTTTCTAGGTTTGCTTTATACCTGATGCTCAGGAAGTATTTTCACTGGCTGGGTTGACTACTTGCCATCTGCTGAGCATTCATTGCTGAATGAAAGGGGAAAGAAAGTGAAAGGAGAGGTGGGGGGAAAGAGGAAGCTGGAGAAATAAGAGGAAACAGCTGGAAGCTGAGGGTGTGGGATTTACCTAAGGTCAGTAAAACAAAAAGCTAGCAGCGGACAGGGTCAGGCCCTGAGGATAGAGGGATAATTAACTTCTGTTAGCTGGTTGAGTAGAGCCTTGTGTGCTTTGTTAGAGAGACCAAAGGTACTTCAAAGGAAAACTAGATTCTTCCCTGTGTACCTTAGTAAGTTGTTCATCAGGTCAAAATCTACCCTGCCCTCTAGGAATTATGGTCTTCCTTTAAGCCTAGCAGAGAATTTGCTGCCACTGCTTAGGCAACCAAGGGTGAAGTTCTTCAAGTAGTATTTGCACACAGCAGCGGGTAAGCTCAATGTATTATTCACAGCTTAAAGAGTAAATGCTGCGTACAGCTATTGTTTCTGTATAGAGCTTCCAACAACTAGTTTACTAGGCCCCTTTACCTGCATTTATGCCTGGACTGATGACTAAATGTAGAACTTGTGGCAGCTTCTAGTTCAGAGACTTTTCAGAGTCAAGGAACAATATCCTTTGAGGAGTTAATTCCCTCACTTGGAGCCTTAGCAGGATCTTATGCTGTCTAGGCCTTGTGTTGCCATCTGTTGGCACTGCTTGCTAGAATGGAGCAGCCTTCCCAAAGCTTAGTCTGGTTAGTCTTGTAATGTCATATTGGTGTCTTAGGCCCCTGCCGCTCACTTATCTCACCCAGGGAACATTCTGCATAGGTTCCTCAATACCTGTTTCATTATTCCCCATTCCCTTTACTGCCAAGATTGGAGGGACCCTCAGCTGAAGATCAAATTGACCCAGTGAAGAAGAAGCTGAAGAGAGATGTTTCTCTTGGTAGAGTGTTCACTAGATACAGATGTTTATGCCCTGCCTCTACTCTTCAGGAGAACATTTGGACAGGCATTAACAATTAGTAAATTTCTTTACACATGGCTAGCATTTTTGTTTTTTCTGGTAATACAGATGGTGGCACATCTGTTTAGTGTCATTACATCCCTCTTTGAATGTGTTTGGGGTGGAGGGTATAGCCACTGAGAAGTTCACCTCTATACCAGAGAAATTTTGTGTGTAAGAATTTATGTCTTTGACTATTCACACAATGATGGAACTGAGTTGATCTTTGGTTCAGGCCCACCAAGTTTGTGTGACCTGTTAAAGTATCAACTTTTTTCAAGCTCAGCCATTACCCTGGTCCTGGGGCATCTGAGGGCAGTGGAGAACAGGTGTCCAAAGGAGAAATGTTGCTGCCTGAGAATATGTTTTCCAGTTGTATTGAATTTCTTACTTGGTGTATTTTTGACCTGTCTTGGTTTCTTTCCTTCTTGTGGCCCATGATATTTTGCTTGCTATTTGTGTGATATTCTGTCAGTCATTCAAGAGTTGTAAAATGGAAGGTAGTATTTCTGTGCAAATGCTTTATGGGTGAAGCTGATGAGTTAAGTCTTGGGTGTGTGACCTTTCTTAGAAGCAAGAGTGTGTCTTTTTTTTTTAAGGGTCTGGCCCTGCTGCCCAGGCTGGAGTGCAGTGGCATGATGATAGCGCACAGCAACCTCAAATTCTGGGGCTTGAACCATCCTCCTGCCTCAGCCTCCCGAGTAACTGGGACTACAGGCATGTACCACCACACTGGGCTAATTTTAATTAAGAACCCTCAACTACCAGTTGAACTCAGTGTATACTAGGAAAAATGGGTAGATTTGTTCCCTGTCCCTTTGTTTTCTTTGAGTATGTTCCGGCTGTCAAGTTAAAAAGGTATTCAGGGAAAAAAAATTGTTCCCCCTTCCTCACCTTGTCAGTTAAAACAGAAATAACTAGTGGTGACACTTTAGGTGATAGAATAGAAACACACACCCCACTTCTGACCACATGGGCCACAGGCAAGTGGCTTTAAGCCCTTAGTGTGGTTATCCAGCTTTGGGGAAGGGGGAGGAGCTAGCTTCTACTTTCCTCCTGAGAAGCTTGGGGTTTTGTAGGGGGTAAAGGAAAGCAGTTCACTTGGTCTGGTCCTCCTTTTGTCCCCAGTTGCACTGAGGCTGATATTGAAAGATGACATTTCTTTTTGCCCAGTGCTTTCTGATATTTCTAAATATTGCAGTCTTGGTTTTTAGTATTGGATTCGTTAATTGTCAGTTCTAGCTTTCTTGCATGAAAAGTTCATTAGCTTACCAATTTGAAGTTTCTAACTGATTTTTGTCCATTGAAAGTTTTGGATTTCATTTGTTTTTGGTTTGTTGAGCAGTCTTACTTGGGTACAGGTAACTGACAACAACAGAGATACTTTCTGGTCCTAGGATTCTAAATCTAATCTAAATCCTTTATGTATTTATTCACAGAACTTTAAAATCTTCTCCACACTAGGAAGGAAATATCCTGTTGCTTTCTAATATCTGCTAAAAGTTATCTTCAGAAAAACAGATCTTAATAGACATCTTCCTTTGTCATGTATCATTAGCCCTTTGGCCATTTACTTTAGGGCTCTTTGAGGGAGAGAGGGATAGAAGAAAACCTGTCATTTTAAGAGAAAGTGAAAGGAATAATTAACTGGCTCAGAGATAGTAATGCAGAGTTCTCAGCCCCAGAGTTAATCTAGAACCACTTAATAGCACTAATAAAAATATTTACTTAGCATCTGTTATATTTCAGGAAGTGTTCTAAGCATTTTATATACATTTCTTGTTTAATCCATAGGTGGCCTCTGTGAGATAGATATTTTCTTCCTGTTTTCCAGATGAAGAAACGGAGGCCCTGAAAGGTTAGGTGACAGGTCATACAACTTGGGGTAGGGGAGGGTGGAAGAGAAATCTGAACCAGGGCAGTTGGGGATCTGACTTTTGTGTGGGTGTATGTAGGCACTTCTTATTTTTTGCTTAGACACCAAACATTTCAGATGTTCATGTTTGAAGGTAACACCATCGATTCACTAACTAAAAGTTGTTTATAATAAAGAGTAATTTACTGGCTTTAAACATCCATAGTCTTTTCACTGAATCCCAGGCTATGGTCTGTGGAAGCTGGCTTGAGGAGGGGGCTTGTTTTATTTGTGCTTAAAGATACTGTCTGTCCTAAAAGTAGAAATGCCCCTTCTAGGGATATAGTATTTGATTATGGTGGTTTCATTATATTCCTCTAACAATTGGAACTGATTATTTTTGAGTACTTGTTTAAACTTTTGTATATTTTCCTTCTGGAAAATATCTCAGTGTTTAAAGTTTTGCCTGAATTTAAAAGGTTGCTAATTCTTTTTAAGGGAGAATTTGGGGGACAATCAGGATTTTTGGTTTTGTCTTATGGATTGAGATAAAATTATCCATTTTCCTCAAGAAAAGTGATACTTAAGAATCTCAGCTTTTTAGTAATGAGAACTGGACTGGTTTCACTTGACCTCTACTTCCTTTTAATGGGGAAACCCCTCCCCAGAGGTCCTGTGTGAAAGATTGCTGGGGAAAGGGTTTCTAGATTCCCGGCTAAGAAGTTCAACACAGTCCAGCAATATTGTCATTAGAATAATGGTCTTCATGAAGTACTGGTTTTCATAATCCTGAAGCTTCATTTTCACCACAATTTGAAAGGCAGCAACTGAGGAGGAGACACTATGCAGAGAAGGAAAACTGAGGGAACTGCGTTAGAGACCTGGAAGTGAGAATGTGTTAAGGCAGGGAAGAAGCATAGATTTGCTGTGCACCGAATAAAAGTAAACAGACATGCAGTGTCCAAGGTCAGAGCAAGAACATAAAGGTTTTAGTTTGCCTAGTTAATTCCTTAGGTTTGCATATTAGTTCTCTCCTTATTTTGCATGTATTTAAACTTAGGCTTCCTGAACCATAGTATTTTTCTTTCCAAAAGAGACTTATGGACATTATAGGAGGCATGGGGGCCACTGTAGCAGTTTGGCTGAGGAGTATATCAGAAACTTTTCATTGTTTTCTGTCCCCTCCTGTCTTAAGCTGACCAGTTCTCTGATGTGTTACCTGCTTCTGCTACTGATCCAAACCCCAGAACTTCTCATTCATCCCCAAGGCCTCTAGGCAGTATCCAATGGGGAGTCAGCTCTAAAAGGAACCAGACCAACATTTTCCAGCCCCTTCATTCTGCTGACTGAGAATGAGGAAAGAGTGGGAGAGGGGTATATACTTTTGTAGTGGATGGAAAAGAAACGGACTGCCAAATTAGGGTACCTCAGTCAATTTCTATTGCCATAGAATTCTGCAGCCATATTTTTATTGTGTATGTTTAGGGGAAGGTGGAGATGGTAACCTTGATTGGAAGTGTCTGGAGGGGAATAAATGGGATGAGATATGAGTCAGTTGGTTTTGAAAGATTTGAAATCTTGAAATAATGTGTCCATCTGCTTTTTTTTTTTAACTAGAATTTATAAAAATATCAGTAATAAAGCCTGCCCTCTCATTTCCCTACCACAGGAGACTTCTTGGACTGGAGACACTTGTTTAATAATAGCTTGTCTCTGATATTCCCAGTAGCTACCTCTATGTGAGGAAAGGATAGAAAATGTTAAGGACATCATACAGGCTCCTCATCTACAAAGTTCCCGCAGCAGTGACGCCTACATGGAAGACTTGGAACTGCAAACAGAGGCTGGGGTCACCTTCGTGACATCTGACGCTGTCCAACCAGAAGTTCAATTTTTGTTCTGGGGGGATGAAGAAGGAAACAGACTGTACTAAAAGACTAAAATAATTTGTCTATACTTTGTCACTTGTTATTTTTATTATTTTTGGCGGGAGAGGAGGGGTGTTAGGGTAGAATTTCACATCCTATCTGGAGTGAAGGGGAGGATGAGGAAGCTCAGCCCTTTACCCAAGAATAACCCAGTAATGACATCTCTATGCGTGGGAAGTGTTTCCCTCGACACTGGGAGGATCTGAGGCTGCTCCCCAGTGGGATTCCCTGCTTGAGTTAGAAGGCTACTCAGAGGGAGATGCATATCATAGCAAGAGTGTGTAGGATTTAGCCAGCCTGGAACGAAATGCCAAAAGTGAGAGACACTCGAAGTCAAAGGAGCTTTCCCCAATTTGGAGGTGGGGGCCATGCTGTGCAGGAGGGACTGAAGCGCCAGGTGTCTGCCGTGGCCTGTGCCCTCCGCTGACAGTGTAAGAGGGACGTGATGCTGCTGGGCACCGTGTCTGAGTCACGGGAGATGGCCCAGCTGTGCCCAGCGGGCCAGCGCCAGACCCTGGCGTCCTCCATCTTCTCTCCTGAGCTCCCCCTGCTCCAGCTGCCTGAGCCACGGACCGCAGCACCACACACCCCCGCGGGGGGGGACGCCGCGCCCCATCCCCGCCCCCGGCCCCACCCCAGCCCCCCCGCGGGGGCCCTGACCCCACCGCCGGCAGGCACTGGCTGAGCTCCCAGGCGGCGAGCCGGCAGCCGGGACGCCCAGAGGGGGTCGGGGCAACTGGGGGCGGCGGCGGCCGGGCCGGGGCTCCCCCCCCGCCCGCGCTCGCCGCCGCGGTGGTGCGTCCCGGAGGTTACCGGAAGTGGCCGCGCTCGGCGCTGCCATGTTGAGGAGCCGCCGCTGCCGCTGCCGCCGCCGCCGCCGCCGCTTTGTTGTCGCCTCCTCCGGCTGAGGAGGCTCCCCGAGCGGGGGGAGTGGGGAGGAGGGGGGTCGGCCGCCGCAGCCATGGAGGCCAACTGGACCGCGTTCCTGTTCCAGGTACTGGGGGCCCCCCCGGGGGGGCACGGGGGGGACAGGGGGGCCGGGCCCCGGGCTGGCGGGCGGGCGGGCGCTCCTCCTCCCCTCCCTCCCGGCTCCGCTCTCCGGCCCGGCCTTAATCCCCCTTTGTTTTTCCGCCCGCCCGCCCCGGCGGAGCCGGGCTGCTGAGGTGAAAGGAGGCGGCCTCACGGGGTGCGGGGGAGAGAGCAGGCCTCGGGGTGAACCCAGGGCCCCCCCAGCGCACACACGCGCGCACACATACATACACACACACACCCTTCTCTCCTGCCCTGAAGGGGAAGGGAGGAGGCCGATCGCTGTCACCACCCCGCGGCCCAGAGAAAGGAGGGCGCCGGGCCGCTGGATAGCGCGGGCTGCCCAGCCGCTGCGCGCCAGCCGGGTCCCGCACCGTGGGGTGAGGGGGTCCCCAGGTCCTGCTCTGAGTCTCCTTCTCCCCCCCCCCGACTTCATCCATCTTTCGCTCCCTCTTCTTTCTTTTCACCTCCCTCTTCTTTTTGTGTATATGCGTGTGTATGTTGACTTTCTGACCCCCTCCCACATCCCCGTGAATAGCGGGTATGTCTAGGTTCCCCGCCACTCCCCCTTCCCGCCGCCCCCCTTGTGTTTACCCGGCGGAGGGGGTGTTGTGAGTGTGTTTCCCCTCCCCAAACTTTTTCACTGGATTTACATTTTTTCTTTCCCAAGCCTCAGCCGAGTCTTGGCAGCTGACACCTTCTCCCTTCGTCCAGCTCTCCCGCCGTCCCATTCAGCCCGGGGAATCCCCCGGCCAGGCGGGCCGGGGAGGGGGGAGCGCTGGGGGCCGGGACTCCTGGTGGCCCGACCTTCTCCCCGAGCGCTTTTCTCTCTCGGCCCACCTCGATCGTTTCCTCCAACCTAGTGGGGAGACGGAAAGTGGAGAGCGCAAACAAAGTCCGCTTACAAAGCCCCCAGATGAGTCACTCACTTGGGTGTTGGTCTTTGCTTTTTGCAAGAAACTTAAAAGTGACTGTAGCCGGCACGTTGGCAATTCTCTTGCCCGCTCACTTTAGTTGGGGGACCCCTCTTTGGAAGATCTAAGCTGGGACTTATTTTTTTTTTCCGGCTTCGTTTCTGTTTGCACACGAAGCATTTAGTGGGCAGTAGCGATGAGCTCACGGGGAAACTTCGGAACCGGAGGAGGTTAGGAAGCTAGCTCGTCACTTTTAAGTTGCGTTCTTCCCGCCTCTCTGAGTTATTTTCCTTCTTTGAATACTTCGTGAAATCCCAAACGCGTAGCTTGGGCGCTTGAGACCTTTCAGAACTAACCAGGAACGGATGCAGAATTTTCAAAAAATTATCATTCAAGCCACTGGATTCATCCCAGTGAATTTAATATAGGGAATTGGAGAATTCAGACATTACCTATTGTGTAGACCTGGTTTACAGGTCTTATTGTTTTAAGATGTATATTTTTTCAAATATGGACAATTTGTTTTTTTTTTTAAGTAGTTACTGAAATATATTCGGGCTTCTTAAAATTGAAAATACTCAAAATTATGGAACTCAGGAACTTCCTCCTTTTCTCATTATGGTCTAGTGTTTTATTGTGCTTTGATAAGCTTGATAATAATGTGATAAGCAAACTTAAAATGCACTGGAAAAGAAATGATACATAACTAGCTGTCATCCAGGTTGGTGAAAAGGTAGCAAATGTTTCTTTTTCTCAAAAAAAAGAAAAGATATGGGATTGATGGGCCACTGAAGTGGTTTTCACATGATTAAAAACTATTAAACCTGGTATCTATAAACTTAATAGAGATTGAAAAATAAAACAGGAAAAACTTATAACTCATCTTTAGAAAGCTAGCTGAAAAATCTTTTGGAATACTTCTTAAAAAATTATTATTCTGTTCCTGGATAAAGCAAATGCCAAGCATTTTGATCAACTTTTTAGTTAGATTTTATACTATTTAATTGTTTTCAGCTATTAAAATCTTTTTTTTCCACCTGATGGAGAAGTGTGAAAGCTAATATTTGATCCTGGGTTTGGCGGTGTGTGCAGGGAAAATTGTTGGAAAACTTAAAATGTAGAGACAAGGGCAGTTGAATGGGTGAAGGGAATATTTCAGCCTTTTTTATGGAAAGGTATGAATAGACTTAATCAGTTCTGGTATTAAGTAAATTTCACTGGGGAAATGGAATTAAATTTTCTTGTTTGTTTCCTGGAGCATCCTATTGAATTTATATTTTAAAACAATACCTGCTTGCTTTCCAGATAACCTGGTGGAAAGTGAAAGCTATAGCTGCTAAAGTAGTTTGATGGATTATTCTTCTAACAGGACATTCAAGATATGACTCACCGATGCTAATTTGTTCAGTACAAAATCTTTTACCCTCTGGCACTGGAGATTTCATGGTGCTATATCCTACTACCCTGGGTGATGAAATAACATTTCTGTTTTGTTTTTTGCCAGCCTCAGAAAAAGGAAAGTTTGAGCAGGGTTAAAAAACCTTGCTGCCGAAAGAGATGGGAGATAAAATTAAAACTTTGATTTGATGATGATAGTCAAATAAAAGCCCAGAAGTTATATTTTAAAAATAAATTTAAAAGTAAATCACTTAACTAAAGGCCAGCTGTGGTTGTTATTTTACTCTGTCTCTCCCCCAGAGAACAAGTTGGGAAAACCCAGTTCCCCCTTAGAAGGCTTCATGTAGAAGTGTGGGGATCCTAGGAATCCTCAGAGAGTGATTCCTGTAGTGGTTCTACAGCATTTCACCCAAGAAGCAGGGACCTGGTGTGACCCTCGTATGAGAGTGAGCTTCAGCAATGCTGTAAAAATACTTTATGTTGCCACAGACATCTGAATTGGTAAAATGGCAGTAAGTGCTTTTAGTACTCCATCGTACTAATGGTTGTTTAGAATTGAAAAATGCCTCTATAAGTCTGAACTTTGTCCAGAAGATTTGCATTCGTATTATCTGATCTGTTAGCCTTTGAAATTGTATATCTTGAGCTATCTCCAACTATTAACCATTTGTATACTGTATGGAAACTTGAGTGTCTTACAGCAAGGTTGGAAGAGGGGTGAGATTAGAGTCCAGTCCAAATTCTGTAAAATTTCTGCTGATGTCACCTGGGTAGATAGACCCTCACTGTTACAGGAGCTCTACCAATTAGATTAAAAGTGGACTGTACTTCGGTTATGAACACTAAGTCCAGAAAGATACTCATAAGTAACCACACAATTTCTGAGAGCACTTCCAGGACTCAAAGAGTGATTAAATCAAAATTATTAAATTAAAGGTGATAACTCTGGATACCACACCTCCTAATCATTTGGGGGAGACTAATTCCAGGCTGTTGTGCTGCCATCAAGTAAACATGGAACAATGTGTGGTAGATATTCTTATCCATCAAAGGAGGAGCTATGTGTGAGAGAGAGAGAGAGAGAGAGAAAAAGAGAGTGTGTGTGTGTGTCCTTGTTTCTTTCTTCCTTAATCAAGTTAGCTGTAGGATTTGTGGTTATAGATGAGAGGGTAAATAACTGTCTAAAATGTCTAGATGGGATGGGTCCCTCCTAGGACTTTGTATGCTTAAATATTTGGAACTCTTAGCTCTGAGTGCCTGTATCCTTTTAGGATTACAAAACTCAAGACTCTGTCAAGAGTTTCAAAAATAACGTTGGTAAAGAACAACATATTAGGAAGAACTATTTCAGGAATTTTTTCCATCATTTCCTAAATGTTTATCAGTATGGAGGTACGGAGAATTTTGAAAGAATCAGAACCAAGAGAGCAACTACTCATAAATACCAAGAACCTGATCCACGATGAAATTTTGGTTTCAGTGCAGCTAACGAAAATTTCCAGACAGTATCTAGCCCCCAGTTTTGAAGTGGAGAAGCACTTTATACCAGCAAATGTCTAATACTTTATCAAAACCTACAACTGCTGGAACTGCTGGAAGAAGATGAACATGAAAGGAATTTAAGTGTTTGTTGTTTGTTTGTTTTTCTCATTAGTCTGTCTTTGAGAGTTTAGGGTTTGAACAGCTAGTGTTGCTGAAGGATGCAGACTCCAGTATAAGATTAAATGACCTGAGAACAACTGACAGGTGTTTTGCTGTGGGTTACCTTCACAGATGCCTTGCAGGTTGATTAATAGCAGGTTTTGTTTCGATCAGATCTTTTAGTAGAGTCAGTGAAAACTTAAAGTTAACAACTAGCATATGTATTCAGAGAACTACTTTTCTTTCATCACTTAGCAACAGCCCCTTTTCTCAATCACTGAGAGTTTTCTGATGGAAAGAGAAAGACATGATGCTTTTCCTTTCCTGGGTAATAGACAAGTAGATGATTGTCATTGTGTGTGTGTGTTTGTGTGTGTGTGTGTGTGTGTGTGTTGCTACAGTAAGGTACTGTTAAATACTTCAGCCTGGAGTGTAATTTTTTTGACAACTTATTTAAACTTGGTTTCAGCACTGACTAATGCAAACTGATTTCATCAGCTGGTATGTCCCTTATGAACCAGAGTAGTCTGTAGTTTAGTCAGCTGTTCAAAAGCAAGATCACTGTCAGCAACTTAGTCGCAAAAGTTTTATGTCTGCACAGTGATTTTTCAATGCTTTAAATTGGGAGCTCTGAGAGTAGGTGGTTGCTGGATCTCTTGCAGAGAATAGCTTACAGACTCTTTGACTGTTTCTTCTGGTCTCTATTGTCTGGAGCATGTTGAATTTTGAAGGTCATTGTGAGAGGCTGAGTTTCTGAAGTGTAAATGTTTGGTTTTAGGCCCATGAAGCCTCCCATCACCAACAGCAGGCAGCACAGAACAGCTTGCTGCCCCTCCTGAGCTCTGCTGTGGAGCCCCCTGATCAGAAACCATTGCTTCCAATACCAATAACTCAGAAACCTCAGGCTGCACCAGAAACATTAAAGGATGCCATTGGGATTAAAAAAGAAAAACCCAAAACTTCATTTGTGTGCACTTACTGCAGTAAAGCTTTCAGGGACAGCTATCACCTGAGGCGCCATGAATCCTGCCATACAGGGATCAAATTGGTGTCCCGGGCAAAGAAAACCCCCACCACGGTGGTTCCCCTTATCTCTACCATCGCTGGGGACAGCAGCCGAACTTCGTTGGTCTCGACCATTGCAGGCATCTTGTCAACAGTCACTACATCTTCCTCGGGCACCAACCCCAGTAGCAGTGCCAGCACCACAGCTATGCCCGTGACCCAGTCTGTCAAGAAACCCAGTAAGCCTGTCAAGAAGAACCATGCTTGTGAGATGTGTGGGAAGGCCTTCCGAGATGTGTACCACCTCAATCGGCACAAGCTCTCCCATTCAGATGAGAAGCCCTTCGAGTGTCCTATTTGTAATCAGCGCTTCAAGCGGAAGGACCGGATGACTTACCATGTGAGGTCTCATGAAGGAGGCATCACCAAACCCTATACTTGCAGTGTTTGTGGGAAAGGCTTCTCGAGGTACTGCATTTTGCTTTGCTTTTCTTCATTATGGTATCAGTGAACTTCAGTCTTGTCTCTGTGATCTGGAAAGTTTATGTGAAAATAGATGTGGGCAGGCATGTGTTATTAGAGATTGGTGATAGATAAGCATTATGCTTCCAGGTCTAACTCCAGTTTGGTGTGGTTGACAAGTGGTACATAGTGATTAACCTATTATTTCATTTAAGAAGTGTCTTGGTGGACTGAGGCCTTCATTTGGCACATGGATACTTCTTATCACTGCAAAACCACCAGTTTCTAATTCAGTCGGGAGACTACACATGAGGTTCACTGCGCAAATCAAAGAAACTCATTTCCTGGAAGTCCTTGGATACTTTTAATAAAACTTTTAGAAGAATGTTTTTCCATTTTTCTGTGGATACTAACATTTCACTAATTTTCATTTTAAAAGCTTTTAGAGTTAATATAATAGTAGCTGGTTTTGGCAGGTGTTAGGACTAAAACTTCAGGTGTTTTGTAATTGTAAAGAATCAAGACCTAATATGATTTGATGTTGACTAGGAGAGAAAATTAACAGGTAAAGGACTCAGACTTTTGTTTATGGTAAAAGAGGTAAGGAGGCTTGCACTGGGGAAGGGGACGGTGATTTTGCTAGCTTTCTTTAAAATTCCCCCTCTCTATCTGCCAAACAGGTAAGCATCACATAGGTAGCATTTCTTTGTGTGTTATATTACATCTTCTGTTGAAACTCTCTCTTTCACAGGCCTGACCACTTAAGCTGTCATGTAAAACATGTCCATTCAACAGAAAGACCCTTCAAATGCCAAGTAAGAGTTAAAATGACTTATCCTTAGTGTAGTACTTAATGCACATTATCTAGAAGGTCTGAGCCAGTCAAATCTTGCCATTCTTTAACAGTCTTAAAATCACTGGCTTGAGTAAATGTGGCCTATTTGAATTCTAGTTTTATAAAATGTAAATAACAGCTTCTATTTCTGTAAAACAAGATCATTTAAGAATTTCTGTGTTATTTTTGTTAAGCTATATTTTCCTTTTCCTGGACAATAGCCTTTCTTATAAGAAAAAAATTTATAGTCTTGCAAAGATTGTTGTGTATTTGGAATGAATAAAATAATAAAGGGCTTTAATTTAATTTCTGGATTGATGATTGAGGTTGTTTTAATTGAAGTAGGAGAAAATATGAATTTTTCTCCCAAATGTTATCACATATTGGACTTTTGCTGTTACCAAATTGGAGCATTTTCTAGTTGTTTGAAAATCTGTTCAGGTTAATGATTTTATTTGACATCAGTTGTGATAACAAAAAGGTTAAGAACTTTGCTAAATCAAGTGACTGTTTTAGGCATCAGTAATTCTGGTTTGTTGCTGCAGTACTGCTGCTGCTTTTAGTTAAATTTGTTAATGACTGATTTTATTAAGTAAATGGTTGAATTCTAAGAAAAATCTAATTGGAGGGAGGAAGCTAGTGTCATTGAGTAAGTGCCTGCCATATGCACCAGGCTGTTGATCCACCAGTAATTTTGTGAGTTGGGAATTATTATCCCCATTTTGCAGATAAAGAAACAAATTCAGATGGGTTAACTAACTTGTTCAACATTACACCATTTAGTAAATTGTAGAGCTCATTTTAAATCCAGGATTAACTGACTCTAAAGCTTATATCTTTTCACTCCTCTGTGTTGATGTATTTTCTTCTTCCAAAATGGAATGCTCTAAAATTCATCAAGTGTTTTAATTATAATTATGATTCTGGGTAACAAATGCAATTAAAATTCAGCTAGCTAAGTCAGCTTGCTGACATGGGTAGGGCAATGCATAGAATATAACGTACTTTAAAATGAGTAGAACAGGATAGTCTATATTTAAAAAAAGTTTTCCTCCCTCATGCAGACGTGCACTGCTGCCTTTGCCACCAAAGACAGACTGCGGACACACATGGTGCGCCACGAAGGCAAAGTATCATGTAACATCTGTGGGAAGCTCCTGAGTGCAGCGTACATCACCAGCCACTTAAAGACTCATGGGCAGAGCCAAAGTATCAACTGTAATACATGTAAACAAGGCATCAGTAAAAGTAGGTGATGCTTCAGATGTTATTTCTTTTGCATTTCAGATTATGAAATCTGCATGTTTTTATAATGTATCAAATGTATTTTCACATGTGTGCTCTCAGGACTATATTAATGTTCATTTTACATGTTTCCTCCTATTACTAAAGTGTGCAAACAGGCAATAATGGAGAGAGTATATTCGAGTCAGAACTGTGCTTTACCTGCATATTTCCAACAGCACTGATAAGCTCTCCACTAATTTTGTTTTCAATCCTGTGCTACTAAGAACACCCACATTAGAAGAGCAGAATTAGAAGAGCAGGTATTTTTCAGCATGTCAGCTCTTCTATGGGGTTTGAATAAAAAGCTCTAGTGTGTTAGGATTGAGGCAGCAGAAGCCACACTAGGAAGCTACATCTTTTTTTTTTTTTTTTTTTTTTGAGACAGAGTCTTATTCTGTTTTCCCTGGCTAGACTGCAGTGGCATCAGCCTAGCTCACAGGAACCTCAAACTCCTGGGCACAAGAGATCCTCCTCCCTCAGCCTCTTGAGTAGCTGGGACTACAGGCACACTCCACAACACCCAGCTAAGAGACGGGGTCTCACTCTTGGTCAGTCTGGTCTTGAACTCCTGACCTCAAGCAATCCTCCTGCCTCAGCATCCCAGAGTGCTAGGATTACAGGCATGAGCCATGGAGCCCTGCTGGAAGCTGTATCTTACACTAGGCAATTTTAATTGTTTTTATTTAAAGTTAAGGAGATTCTCAAGTACCAGTATTTCCTAATTCCTAATGATATTAATAACATATCCTTAATAATAATCCTAAAGGTGAAAGCAATGTTAACAAGTTTGCTTTTCAAACTCAAATCTGTAGAGAAACGGGGTACCATATCCACTTGAAGGTTTAAATGCTTTGTTTGTTTACCTTAAATTCAGAGTTAAAGATGGAATATTCTAGAGACTTGGGGATAAAATTCCCATTTTATCCTATGCATTTACCCAGGCTTAGCCAGGCTTTTACTGTTTAGATTGCCCTGACCAATAGAAGAAGGCATTTTCTTAATCCTGTATTATATTATGTATGTACTTTATATGCAGCAGAAACATTAAATGTTCAAAAAATGGGTGGCCACAAGTGAATGGGAAAGAAAGCTTAATGTGATTTAATCTCATTCATTTTTGCTTCTTTGTAAATACACTGGGTTTATTATCTAGCATGTTATACTTTAACTTTACAAAAATTTACTTTTAATGTACATCATTGTAGTCAGATTTTAAAATGATATTTTGATGAACATTGATTAATCTATACTAATATTACCCAACTTCCATTTTTAAAGATGCTTGCTTTTTAATATGCAGAGAATTCTTTTCTATATTGTTTTTACCTGCTTCTCTAGATTTTTTAATAATTTTGTTTATTTTGACTAATATAGACACAATCCCAAAAATATATATTTGGTAAGAGCTATCAGGTTAAAAGGTCACAGAGGCATGAGGAGTCAATTTTGAAAAAACAGCCATACTTTTTCAAGGTAAATACAGTGTTTCTGGTTTATCTTTGGAATAGCTTGCATGAATGAAGAGACCAGCAACCAGAAGCAACAGCAGCAGCAGCAGCAGCAACAGCAACAACAACAACAGCATGTGACAAGCTGGCCAGGGAAGCAGGTAGAAACACTGAGACTGTGGGAAGAAGCTGTCAAAGCAAGGAAGAAAGGTAAGATGAGGCTTCCAGTGTTCAAAGTGTGGCCAGAGAAGTATTTTCATTTGTTCTGCCAAGTGATCAAAGTAGAGAAGCCACAATTTAGGGCGAGAAGCCACAATTTAGGGTGACTAGCTTAATGAAAACATGTAAATATTGTGGATGCTGGGAAATATATAGTTTAGTTACTGGCAGCAAAACATCCAGGTAAGTTTTTCTTACTAGGAAATAAAATTTCTCAGTATTTGTTACTATGTTCTTTCCCTTGATTTACTTTTCGTTGCAAATTTGAAACCAAATTTGGTCCTTTGGTATGCTCAGAGTTCCATTTTGATGTCAACCTCCATGTAGTATGGGCTCCTTTTTTTCTTTCTGAAATATTCCCACTTTTAGAGGTGGATTAAATGTCCTTATGTGTACATAAGTTCATTTTCTTATAATTCTGCCATTTTTTGCTCTTTAGTGTTCTTTCTGCATTGTATTATTTATTACGTGTTTCAGACTTTATAGTGCTGATGTTTGTTCTCTTGGTCTCACCCTTAATCTCTTTCAGTATATCAGTGTGACTGGCCTTAGCTTAACATGTCTGCACTTATGCTATTAGGGACTTTACTGTAATTGTTAGAAAAATTAAGTAAGAATGGTTTGCTTTTCTCTAGTGTATCTTATATAGAATGAGTTGGAATATCACTTTTCAACATACTTTTTAACTTACTAGTTACAGCTTTGGCTTCTGGACTATTGTGCAGCCACTTCAAATAAATCATTTTGTCAATGTATCATCAGCCACAGGACAAATTTATAAATTCCTTCTTTCCTCCTCCACCCCTGCCATGTTTTGTTGTTTTCTTTTAAATGCTAAAGAATCCTCTGCATATAGGCTTCTCTGCATGAATTTCTTTGCTAGGTAGTTTCTTCCACCTTTTGCTCATGTAGTGTGACTATTGCCTTCTTCCGAGCCATTCTAAACATCCTGCACTAGGATAAAGATAAAAGGAATAGCATCCTTTTTATACATCTACTGGCATTGGTGGAAAAGAGTGCAGCACAGTCCAGATAGCCTTTCCATCCTTGCTCAGCTGCTTCTTGTTCCTTTCTTCCAAAGGAAAATTTATCATTATTTTAATAAAATGTTTTGTGGGTAGAAGAGTGGGGTGGAGGGAGAGCTGGTAGTGGGGAGCAAAAAAATATAGTGCTATGATAATTGCATAGGAGGCTGAAAGTATATTAAGGTTGGCTGGGCATGGTGGCTCATGCCTGTAATCCTAACACTCTGGGAGGCCGAGGCGGGAGGATCACTCAAGGTCAGGAGTTCAAAACCAGCCTGAGCAAGAGTGAGACCCCGTCTCTACTAAAAATAGAAAGAAATTAATTGGCCAACTGAAAATATATATACAAAAAATTAGCTGGGCACAGTGGTGCATGCCTATAGTCCTAGCTACCTGGGAGGCTGAGGCAGGAGGATCACTTGAGCTCAGGAGTTTGAGGTTGCTGTGAGCTAGGCTGAGGCCACAGCAGTCTAGCCCGGGGAACAGAGTGAGACTCTGTCTCAAAAAAAAAAAAAAAAAGAAGAAGAAGAAAGTGTATTAAGGATATTTTACTTAGAAGGGTGAAGTGTTTAAGTCATAATAAAAGGACACTTAGTTTAAAAGAAAACACAGGAGAGGAGGTGAGGGGGATAGCACATAAGACAGAGAAAAATCCTTTGTGGAAAGCAGGAGGAGAATATCCTTAGCACTGATACTGGCACCTCAAAATTGAGTTGGTTTTCTCTCTCTTTCTCTCTTTCTGCACTCCTCTATTTGGTATTGTATTTCAGTTTGATTACACAATAAGACTTGATTGTTTAGCTCATCCTTTGACCTCCATGAAACAAAATGCTATTGTATTCCCATTCATAGTATGAATCTCTCTGGAAATGACCACTGATATTAGAGACCTCTGTATTCATGTTAGTAAATTTACGTTTTGGGGGGTGAGGAGACTCCTGACCTGAAAACCTAAACTTGAATCAGCAATGTCCTTTTAAATAATTAGGCCTACAAAAGGTAGTATAAGTCTTGAAACCTGGTTGAAATCTTACCATCATCTTGGGAGCTTTTTAAACATATACATTCCTAGATTCCACCTAAATTTCACTGTTGGCCTTCCTGGGAATACTTTTTTTTTTTTGAAACAGGTTCTTACTCTGTCACCTGGGCTAGACTGTAGTGGCATCATCATAGCTCACTTCAGCCTCAGACTCCTGAGCTGGGCTCAAGTGATCCTCCTGCTTTAGCCTCCAGAGTAGCCACCATGCCCAGCTAATTTTTCTATTTTTTTGTAGAGACAGGATCTTGCTTTGTTGCTCAGGCTGGTATCAAATTCCTGGCCTCAGGCGATCCTTCCACCTCAGCCTCCCAAAGTGCTGGGATTACAGGTGGAACCCACCATGCCTGGCCCAACTCTGAAATCCATTTTTTTTAAGAAGTTCCCTAGAGAAATGATTTTGAACATCAGCCAGGTTCAGGAATCTCTGATATGGAGTATGCCAAAGTTACATTGTATTGATCAAGGAATGGCTGCTTGACTCAAAGGTCCACCTGAGGTGACCTGACCTATGTGTAGGTCATATGCAGACCTCCATCTTTAGTCTCGAATGCATTTCTCCATTTTGACAGCCAAGTCACAGCCAGCCCACCTATCCAACTCTTTACTGCCATTTTATGGCACACCAGCAGGTGGTGCTGAATTTTGTTGCAGGATGGGTTGGGGGGTGTCACTTTGGAGGGGAGGGTACCCAGGTTTTGCTAGATAATAAGGACCAGGGTCCCCCAGCTGACTGCAGGGTCTCCTTGCCTGGCTAGTTCTTGGCATGTTTGGTGGTGTGTGTAATATGTGCAGTTAAATGATACTACACAAAGTAAGTGACTATGTCAACATCAGAAAGAGAAGAAGTAATAGGAGTGAGGAGAGTATCAATCTACTGAGAAGTCCTAGCACTCTGGGAGGCTGAGGCAAGAGGATCGCTCAAGGTCAGGAGTTCGAAACCAGCCTGAGTAAGAGTGAGACCCCATCTCTATGAAAAATAGAAAGAAATTAATTGGCCAACTAAAAATACATAGAAAAAATTAGGCGGGCACGGTAGTGTGTGCCTGTAGTCCCAGCTACTCTGAAGGTTGAGGCAATAGGATTGCTTGAGCCCAGGAGTTTGAGGTTGCTATGAGCTAGGTTGATGCCATGGTATTCTAGCCTGGGCAACAGAGTGAGATTGTGACTCAACAACAAAAAAAAAAACACCAAAATCTACTGAGAAGTATTTTTTCTTTCTTAACATAGTTAAGAATTATAACCAGAAACAAGATTTAACTAGAATGATTTTCCTAAAACTGAAATAAACAGGTGATATAAGAATAACTTTTTTATCATTCTCTAATTATGCATTTTTAAAACCTTAACAGAATGGTGGCTTCATGTCTAAGAAGGCTTTAACATACGTATTATTGAGTATGCACACTTCTCTCTGCTAGTCACAGTGTGCCTTATGAGAAGATTTTTCTGACTATCTGTTATTGTGTAACTATTGGCTCAGCTCTGTGTAAACAAGCCCTTTCTCCTGGCCTGCTGCTGGTTGGCTCTTCCCAGGAAAGTCTTTAGAATTCAGAGGAGGGGGTAGTGAGAACACTTAGCCCTTCTTGGTATCTCTGCCCCCCAGAGTGCCTTGCAGAAGTTAACTGATCTTCCCACCAACACTATGAGGTAGGTAAGTAAGTCTGAACTTGAAATCAAATGTGCAAGGCTAAACAAGTTGCCCAAGCCCTTGCAGGAGGTATAGCATCAGAAAGGTAACTCCCACACTGAGATCCCTGGCCCCTAGGCTTGAGCGGCAGAGAATCCTCCCTTCCTGTTGATGACTTGGTAGGAAACTGTAATTTGGTTTATTAAATGTTTGACTTTTTTAATGAAAAGAAATTGATTCAGAAACTGAATTTTTTTCACTGTTGTGAAAGTCTAAAGGCCCTTTTGTCTTTTATTTTAGAAGCTGCTAACCTGTGCCAAACCTCCACGGCTGCTACGACACCTGTGACTCTTACTACTCCATTCAATATAACATCCTCTGTGTCATCTGGGACTATGTCAAACCCAGTCACAGTGGCAGCTGCAATGAGCATGAGAAGTCCAGTAAATGTTTCAAGTGCAGTTAACATAACCAGCCCAATGAACATAGGGCATCCTGTAACTATAACCAGTCCATTATCCATGACCTCTCCTTTAACACTCACTACCCCAGTCAACCTCCCCACCCCTGTCACTGCCCCAGTGAATATAGCACACCCTGTCACGATCACATCTCCAATGAATCTGCCCACGCCTATGACATTAGCCGCCCCTCTCAATATAGCAATGAGGCCTGTAGAGAGCATGCCTTTCTTGCCCCAAGCTTTGCCTACATCACCGCCTTGGTAAACAGTATTATAAAATTAAAATATGGGTTAAAGTAAATATTTACCAGCAACTTAACTTTTAGTTGATTAAAACAAAAAGTAAACCATGAAATTGGGAGATTTTATTACATTAGTTAATAGTGTAGTAGCATTTTTCTCCAATTTGGCTGGGATTGTTCAGAGTAGGGTATGTATGTAACTTATCACTGGACCACTTTAGTTTAATCAGAAATTCCTTTTAGCTGACAGCATTGCTTAAACAGGATAGTACTTGGCAAGATGAGATGCCAGAATTAAACCCAATCATTTAAAAAAAAAACCCATTTCAAAATAAAAAAACAGCATACTGTTTCTAATCCCCAAAAATCATTTTATTCTAAACGCTAGCAAAACTCTTCTCCCTATACAAGGTGGATGGCTGATTTTAACCTGAAATTCTAAATCCACAGACTGAGAGCTAGTGTAGAATTGTGTTTATTGTTTTTATGAATAAATACATGCATTGTCATAATAAAATGCATTTCAGAGAATATGCATTTTACCTTTGGGAATATGTTAATTTCAGGCAGCATTCCCTATGGGAAAGGTGATACCAGCTCTGATATGCAAAGCATATGATAATTTATCATTCTAACTTCAACATATAATAGGGATTGTGACCTGATATTTGGAGATGTAAATATTGCTCAGCATATTAATCCTGATGGAATATAGCATTGTAGTTGACTTTTTAAAAAAAAAAAAAATCTAAAAAAAAAAAAAAACCACCAAAATATACAGATTGTGTTTTGGTAAGAAAAGGCCGCAACTGACAGAGAAGTCAAGTGTGCGGACAGGCAGGCTCCTAACAAAAGGAGGCCAATGGGACTCCTGTTTGGGAGCCAAGGAGTACTTTGGAACAGTTCGAATATATTGCTTTAAATTGGAAGACGCTGGAGGCACTGGGATGTGTTATGCCCCTCTCTCTCCCAATCAGAGCCTGTTGATGTTACAACAGGGACAGATGTGTTAGTTGCGCACTAGAGTTTATGTCTTATATTAAATTGTATACAGTTTTTATTCTAACCACTAACTAGGTAGTATGCCCCTTCAGAACAAGCAGAGTGTATCTCTTTTTTTTAATTTCTCCTTCCATTTCTTAATCAAGTATTGTGCAGATTTGTTCAACTTTGTAAATATGGACATCACTTTTTTTTTTTTCATTGCAAAAACACTTGTATCAGCTTTGTGGTGTTTTCAAGGAGATAGCTGTCTGCACTCCTGTGGAAACCCAGCAATGATTGTGCACGTTGCAACATGTGCTTTTTATTTCTTAGCAGGATGTTTTATCTCTGTACATAAAGTAGAAACCAAAAGGTAGGGAAACAGATACTCTTTACACCATCATGTCACACATTAATGTTTTTAAAGCATCGTGTTTTTAAAAAAAGTTAACTAAAACCAAGACGCTGTGATTTTTTTTTTAAGTTGCAATATGTTTTTGGTTTTTTCTTTTTTCATTTTTTAATCTTTGCAGTTAACAGAAATGGAAACTAGTTGTGTTAATCTTGCAGAATGTTTGCAGGACTGACTATCAAACTGGATGACTTCTGTTTATACCCCACTGTGTCAGTTCAAGCATCAAAATACCTTGCATCTGAGGCAGACTTCCTACATCAGGGACAGGTATCTGTGTGTCATTATACAAAACAGTTCTAGGGGGTTGAACTACATAGTAAAAAATAAAATAAATAGTACTTAGTGTAAAATAATTTTATAAATGATCTTTTGTACTTTAGGACATTAAATTGTACAACTTTTGTATATATAAAAGCTTAGGAACTTTCTGTTTAGCAGGAAGGCAACACATTCCTACACTTTTAATGTATATGTTTGTTATAATGTCCATGTAAACATGCCCTATGTTTGTGCCTTTTAATTAGTTTGTCTCAATAAACAAAATGTAGAGAAAAATATGTAGCTATGACTTTGTTACAACTGTTCTTATCCACAGTACAAAAATGGTTTGTTTTTAATATGTAGAGCATTATGTGTGGACTACTGGAAGGACTCGTGTAGGGAAGGCCCAAGAATGGCCCTGCTGAGGCCTGGATTGGGGGACAGTGGCCACATTTGGAGGAAGCCCACATTTCCTGGCATGCAGACCCAAGACTGGGTTCTGGCTCTGCCTGCTGGGACCTTTCATCTCTCTGATGGGCTGGCAGTCACTATCCTCCACAATTCAGACAGCCCAGGCTTCCTCCACAGTGGTTCAAGGAGCAGTCCTCAGTGAGGACAGTGTGGGCCCTACCTCCCAGGCTAGAGCGTGGTTGTCAGAACCCTGAAAGTATTAGTTCTTAAAAAAAAAAAAAAAGATATATACTAGAAATGATTGTTTTATCAATTCATTGTATAATAAACAGGAGTGAGACTTCATTGTATGACTTCAGTTAAAATGCTATTTTGTATGCATTCTTTATTCACTTAAGAAGCTTGTCTGCAATAATAAAGCCACGTTGTGTCTTCTTTTGGGAGGGAGAGAGTTGATGGCAGGATGGGGGTGAGGGTGGGCCACTGAAAAGGGAGGCTGAATAGGTTGTGCGGTGAAATTCTCCTGTGTCTTGGAGCTGGAATTGAGTTCTGATGCTGATGAACTGATTCAACCAGGTGTTGAAGGCACAACGGCCACCGCTCTACGAAAAGGCAGAATATATTTTTCTCTTCTGGTTGTAAAGCTTCCTCTTTATCAGATTGGCAGCTAAACAGTTGTATTAGATAATCCTCAAATCTGACATCCAGCGTGTTATGCTCTAGGGCTCGCTGCTTGGCCTGCATTTGCCTTTTATTGTGTATCCATTTCCCTCCTACGGTGTGCTCCTAAATGAAGGTTTCTATGTAAGCAGATGATGATTTTACCTGTCAATACCAGCACTGTATTACTAACATGCAAAATACTGCAGATTTATTTTGACAAATTAAAGTTAACCGGTCACAAATGTTACGATGGATTGCTTAATAACTCAGAAGCTTCATCAGTTCACTATGATGATAGAGAAATTTTTGAAGTACTGCTTCTTTAGGTGTACACATCTCAGTATTGGGCTGGAGAGAGGGAGGGAGGGACCAGTGTCGGGCTGGTTGGTATCTGGATACCATGGAAAACGGAGGGTGGAAAAGCACCAGACCACAGTGGGGAAGTACCCTTGCCCAGCAGCTTGAGTAAACCCCAGGAAGCCAGACCTTGGGACAATGGCACGGGTTTAGGCCCCTATCCTACCCAAAAGAGTAAATGGGTTTAGAACATTTTTTATCATGCTCTAGGATTCAGTTTCTTTAATTGAAAGGTATTTTAAGCTGGGTCCTTTGCTCATTTATGTTTAACTAGATTTATCATGTCCACTACAGTAATGTGCCAGGCACTGTCATGCACTAAGGGTACATGTAAAGGCGACTAAGACATGGTTGCTGCCTCCAAGGAGGCTGTTAAGGGAGATGTGATAAGTACCCAAGTGAAGGTATCACCAGACAGATGTCAAGATGAGTCTGACACTTAATGAAAAGGTTTTAGATATGTACATCTGTTTTACATAGAATGCTTTCCAAACTTCCTGTAATAATTACTTTAGTCTCTTGATTGACTCAGTGAACACAGCTGGAGGAAATATATTTCTTGTGCTGTTTTTGTCTTGGGAACAAGAGAAGTGTTATTTTACTGAATTGCTAGATAATCTTTCCAATCCCGCTGCCCAGGTGTCTCCTTTTCTCAAAGGGCCTTGTAGTTTGGTCCTCTTGGGAGAGACCCGGGTTCAGGATGTTGAGGGGATAGTGGACACTTTAGTGTCCTTGAGGTTCATTAGAGAAAAAGTCCAATCTGTTCATAAGATAGTAATTACTTTCCCCTTCCTGCCTTAATATTAATAAATCTGGCCCTCAGTCCTGCACCCTCTCCATTTCCTCCTTAAAGCGTCTCAGCCTAAAAGGATGTCATTTGTCACCCCCATTTGGGCCTATAAATCTCCCCCACAGCTGGCCTGACACTAGCAGATTACTGGATAATCCCCCCTGCCTTGTAAAAATAGGGGGCTGGCAGGTCAGTGTATAATGATCTAGTGCAGAATACTGACTGAGTCTGCATTAGTCCACACTCTGGCTGCTCTGGCTGCCCACCATTGGGCAATCTAAGGCCCATTTACTTCCCAAGAAAGGAATGGAGGGTCAAGGACTTTATTTTGGATCTTTGTGTGATCCAGCCCTCTGCCTAGACCTACCTATTAGGGGTTAGTTAGCCTTCTCCTTCCCAGGATAGGCACTTGACCCAGATCTTGGCTGGCCCTGGCCCATGAAAATCAAGTAGACATCACTTTACAAAAACTGTCCTGTCATGGTAAGGAAATGAATTTTTATACTTCAGATTCTATATCACCACTGACTTGCATCATAATTGCAGACATTTTCTTCATCCCTAATTATCTTAAATTGACTTCCCACCTCCTTCCCAATCCCTAAATACCTCTTTGAAGAGTGCATAAAATAAGAACTCAAAATCACTACCCTTATTGAAGTGAATCCTTTGTAATAAATGTAACTGCTAACCATACAGGAAGAATTCTCAGGTGTTTTTGTAAATTCTCATTGTTAATGGGGTTTTCTCAAAGTGAGGTCGACCTGCATTTGGCTGTATCAGAGGCCAAAGATGGACATTTAAGGAAAATGTTTTGTTCTGCCAGTGAGCTATTCCTTTGGCATGACAGCTAGAAAGAACGAGGAGACCAAGGGGAATGGAAGGGACATGACCTTCCAGTGACTGGTCCAACAACTCTATCTGGCAGTCAGTGCTCCTGTCCAAGGCTGGGGCAGATGTGCCAGTTCTAGAGGCTGCCCATGGAGAGGAAAGCCAGACTGGGATGGGAAGCTAAGTCTCTGTCAATCTTAGGAGCAGCTGGGGGCCACCAGCCTTACAATCCCTGCAGAGTCAGCCAGATTCAGAGATCTGACTCACAGGAGCCTGGATCCCCAAGGCTCTGGTCCATGAGCCAAGAAATTCCTACCTTTATTAGTGATGGGAAAAGAGCCAGAGAGAAATCAGTCTTGCATGTGTGGGGGGGAAGGGGGGAATAGGGAGTCTTGGAGGTTAGGAAGAGGCTAAGGAAGGGGAAGGAGAGATTTTGGGGGACAATGCTCTTGTGCTACCTGTGTCTTCGCCCCTACCCCTGACCTCCATCTCCATGTGGCTGCCCTAAGCTGAACACGATCACTCAGAAGAATTGGAATTAGGTTGCTAGTCCAAGCCAGCTGTGATCATTTTAGCTTCAGTGAATAGGCAGAAAAGAAGATGTGCTTTTCTTGGCCAGATAAAAGACAAAATCAGTAGCTGAAGAAACAGGCAAGATTCAAGCAACTAGGAGGGACTACCCCTGCAGTGGGGACCTGTGAGCCACTTCTTGCTAGAAGAGGTTGGAGCCCACCATTTTCTGGAATCCCAGACTTCTGTCCCAAGAGAGTAGCCCTGTCAACCAACTTACGGAAAGTTCCGTCACATTGTCAATACCAGAGCCTCTGTGGCTATCAAGGATCTCTGAGGGAGAAGAATAGGGACTGGGGGTCTTTGGGAAGAGAGAGAAAGAAGATGGAGCCTTTCCCTGTTCCATAGGCCTAGAATGCCCTCCCCACAACCAGCCCTCCAACACATTTTCTCTACTGTGGACCCTTAGACATCCAGCAAAGTCCAATTGAAATATTGCTTCCTCTGAAACCACACATAACTTCAGGCAGTTAGTTTATTCCTCCTTGGTATGACAGGAGGAGTTAAGAGATATGAACATAAATGTGGAAGTAGTCCAGCACCCCCAGAAGAGAAGCTAGTTCCTAAATTGTGCTGAAGGTTCCTAAAGTTTTGTCACATCCCTAAGTTCCTGGTTCCAAATTAGTGGGGCCATGGCAGCCTGTGATTTTTGCTGATTTTGCCCCGTACTGATGAGTCCCAATGTCCGGGAGGCCTGAAACAACAAGGAACCAAGCACCAAGGCCAGAAACAGGAGCAAGCACCAAGGTAAGTGAGGAGGGGCCCCGGAGGACTCAGAGCAGAGGGAAATTTGGCATAAGGGATGGTGAAGAGGCTGTAATACAGGGTTGTGATCAGGAGCAGAGGCTTGGAATCTGACGGGCCTGGCTGGGTGTAAATCCAAGCTGTGCCACTTGGAGCTGTGTGACCTTGGGCAAGGTACCTAACCTCTCTGGCCTCAGTTTCCTCAGCTGTAAAATAAGGACTCTAATAGCTACAACCTAGCAAAGTTGTGACCTGATTCATATAAAGTGCTTAGTACAGAATCTGATACAGAATACGGAGCCCCGAACTCAATGGGCCTCATCTCCATCTTGTCCTATTTCCAGTCTCGGTCATGGCAACATCAGTTTGCTCAAAGCCAACTGCATCCTCTGAAAGCCCTGCGAAGGAGCTGAACACCTTCCTGCAGCGCTACCTCGCCTCAGACTCTGCGATTTGGGGGACTGGCCATCCAGCACGGGAACCAGAGCTTCATCCGAGAAGTGAGAAGATTAGATGGGAGACACATCTCCTCAAAAGTAGTTAGTTGGAGGCTGACAGAGATGTGGCAGGCAGGGCTCAGGTTAGACCCTGGGGAGGATCACCGGGCTGCTAGACCTTCCGGGGACGGTGCCTCCCGCCTCAGAGGGGTTATTCCATCTCGCTCCACCCCCCCGGCTCTCTACCTCCAGAGAAGGCGCCCGCCCGGCTTCCCACTGCCACCTCAGCATCCCGACAGTCAGGAGCTCGTTCTTCTCTAGTCGCACGCCTGGCACAGACCTGGCCTCCTCTTTCCTTCCCAAGAAGGAAGCGAGCAGCACCACCCGCCCAGGGGAGAGAGAAGCCCGAACCCTAGACTGCTCCCTCCCGAGTCGGCCCGCCTTCTCTCCCCGAGGCGGCCGGGGCGCGCAGGTAGGAGCGAGGAGCCGGCGGAGCGCGGGCAAACGCGGGCGTTGCCAAGGCCGGAGCAGTCCCCTGGCTGCGCGCCCCAGCTGCCCGGCCTAGCGTTTGACGCCCTCCGCCGCGGGGCCTAACCTCCTGCGCCTGCCTCCCGGCCTCCTCTCCGCCTCTCGCCCGCGAGGGTACACTAAGTTAGAGCCCCGGCCGGGGGCACCCGGACAGACAAACAACTCCGGGGCGTGCCGGCCCCGCCCGGGCGGAGCGTCGCGGGGCCGGGATTGGTTGGCGCCGCCTGTGTTCGGATTGGCCGGGTCGGCTAGGGCGCGCTCCCCGGCAGCGCTGCTCTTCTCCCGCTGAGGCTGCGGCGCCTTGTGCGCCCCGCACAATCCCGGCACCCGAAATTTGCGCATCACAACAGCAGTGCTCATTTTATGTAAATAGATACAATTCAGTTCTACGGTATCCGTAGATGACTTGCCCCCAATCCAGTGTTGGCCCCTCAGATGGCTTCATCTGTGACCTGATTCATATAAAGTGCTTCATATAAAGCGATGACAGATGGCTGCATCTGTCAGTTTATTGTATCCTTTGTCCAAGTCACACCTGTGAGAGTCAGTGGGCGAGTCTAGGAAGCTGTAGGGGCTGCACTTTGCACACCTTAGGGAGGCCACGGCGTGTGCAGCGAGGCCGCCTGCTGGGTTAGCCTTTCACCCACTTTCGCCAGCGCCGGTCCTTCTACCATCTACGCTAGCATTTCACATTGCCTTACCTTGGATCATGCTGCTCCATATGGTAGGAACGCTTTTTCTTCTCATTCATCTATTATACTTTTTAAATGTGGTTAAATACTCCTGCTCATTAGGACCTCCCTGGAGAAAAAGCTGATTGCAGGGCTCGGGCAGGAAAATGTGAAGTGAGCCTGGAACATTAGCAAATATTTATTTGGAAATAATTTCAAACTTACGAAAAGTTGCAAAAATGAAAATAGTACAAGAAACACCTGTATACCCTTTATCCAGATTTACCTATTACTAACATTTTATCCCTTGCTTAATCAC